ATTCATAGTCCATTCATTCCTGTTTTCCTACTATCACACGCTGCCAATCACGTCCTAATAAAATGTCGTGCCCATCCAGTGTCGTCGCGAGCATTTCCTGTGTAAACCCGAAGTTCCCCCCGTAGCGGACTTTTTACGCGCTCCACCTTTTCCCGTATGGCCAGGGGCGTGCCGTCGACTAAGCGTGCATCTATCTCAGGTAAACATCGGTTAAGCGTTAACTGTAATTTCCGTGCGGTTGCGGTATTAACTAAGCTGTGGCTTGCTCCTCCGTCAATGAAGATCTTCACTGCTGCTCCCTGTATTTTCCTGTAGATCAGTACCGGGCAATCCGTCGCTGTACCCTCCTTATTCATCCGAGCCCGATCGATGGCGTGAATCTGTACTGTGACTCGGTGAGGGTCGGTGTGGTTGGGCGAGCAGGCAGTCTCGTCAGTAGTTGGCCCAACTTCTACTGACTGCTGGCGTTTCCCTGCCTCCGAGACTCCTTCCCCTGCTCTGCTCCTCGACGCCTCAGCTCCACTGGACATTCGCTCTTGCGATGGCCCGGCCGGTTGCAAGCAAAGCAGCGCCCTCTAAACGGCGCGGCAGCTGCATTCGCTGCGACGGCATGTACAGTGGCGTGCTCGGTCGGTCCCCGAGGACGATGTCCGTAATAGGACCCCGGTCTCGGTCGGCGTAGGATATCGATTTTCTCGGCGAGCGCGAGGATCTCGTTGAAATTCGAGAGCCCGCGTAGCATTATCTCGTGCGAGATGTCCTGCTTCAGCCCTCCGACGTAACGGTCCACCCGCTCCGCCTCGTGCATGTAGCCGACCTGTTCGCAAAGTGCGAGAAACCCGCTGGTGTAGTCTTGAACTGACCCGAGCTGGCGCCAAGTGCGCAGTTTCTGACGCGCCGAAATCGAAGCCGCGATCGGCTCAAAGCGCGCCCGAAGCCCTGCGCACCACGCATCCCACGTGCTGTATTGGGCGGTTTCGCAGAACGAACTCCAGGTAACAGCTGGACCCGAGGGCCCTTCCTCGTGCGACGGTGGCTCGTAGGCGCGCGGCGACGTCACAATCACTCGCCACCAGTCCATGGCGGGGCCCCTGAGTAGTGAAACCGCATACCGGATCTTGGCGGCGTCCGACTCGACGTAGTTGGCGTCGAAAAACACATTCATCGTGAAGACCCACGATTGAACTGTCGGGCCGCCGCGTTGGCTTGGGTCGAAGCAGGGCGGGCGTTGCGGCTTGAGTGGCATTGGGGCCATCATGGCGTTCTCGCCACTTGTCGCCGCAAACTCCACGTGCCGACGGGCTTCTCGGGGCTCCCATGGGCTTAATGCGATCCTGTTCCCTCCTGTGCCGGGCATCGGTTGGGCTGCGCCGTCACTGGCTGCGCCTGAGCGCTGTCCCGTGCTGTTGTGTTGCGTTGGTGTGCCGGATGAGATGACGATGGGCTCCTCCGAATGTGCAGATGCATTGGTTGGTGCGTGTGATGTCGTCGGTACGTTCACCGTTGACTGTTGACGGGCGGAGTCACGTTCCGCCGTGAGAGTCGCGATTTCGAGCGCCGAATCCTCCAATTGACGCACGAGACGATCGAGTTGCTCCTGCGTCAACGTGGCGAGATTGAAATCGGCCATGGCGGGGGTGTCGGGCAAGCTCAGCGAGAGCCTCGGTCGTGGCCGTGCGTGCTTTCGAGAGAGCACTACGAGCGGCGGTGCTGTGTCGCTGAGAGACGTCTACCCCCCCCCAAAAAATTGAGATAGTGGGAAGCGAAGGTGTGGATGCGGTCCGAGATGAGATCGTAGGCTCTGATACCAAGTGTTACGAGTGCAATTGAGTGAACGAACGAGAATTGCACTATCGAAGCAAGAATACAAATGAGCGAAGGCATGAGCGAACATTATATAGCGAAACTACCGTGGTAACGGTAATGGTCGCGTGACGAGCCTGGGACTGAGGTTGGGAAAGTGTCGAAGCGTAGGTCCGGAGCGCGGGTTACCAGCCGAGCCGTGAGGTCGGGATGCGATGTGCGAAAAGGGCGGGATGATGAATGATGCGATGGTCGCGAGTGGTAACGGTGCTGACTGAGGTGCTACAGTGATGTACGCGTTGAGCAGGGACGCGAAGTAAGGAAAAGGGAATTTCCTTACAGCTGCACTGACTTTGTGTACCTACCATACGTCGCTTATGATGAAGGCATGCAAGTACGCAAGGCTGAGTTTGTTGAAGCTAGCGATATGACACAATATGCATAATGCTGGATTCAGGATCTTGCGTCGAATTAATAAGTTCGTGTCTCATGGTGTTAGCGTTATCTGAACTTTATTTTTATTTCTGTAAAAAGGCTTGTTTCAAGATTGCATATGTATTGAGTTACTGTTGGGACTTGGAAATACAGATCAGAGGAACACTGCGTTACCTGCCATTGTGTCAGCGTTTACGGGGTACGTATTTCTTCGGCTTGAGTGGAGTGTGTGAGGGGTGTGTCTGTCAGCAAACGCCACTTGAAACACCCGCCAGAACAACTGTCGCTTGAATCGCAAGCAAGGACGGGACGAGTGGCTCGGATGCTCCACGATCCCGCCGATCACGGTAAATACTTCCCTCCTTCGTGGTTCAAACTTTCCACGCCATCACAGGGCCGCGGTTGTCTTTGCTAGGTCACTAACACGTATGATGACGCGGAGATTGCTCGAGAAAATTACGCTGCCTTGGCGCGCTGTACCTTTTTCTGCGACCATCGCAGGGTGTGTCACCAAGGCCGACCAAGTGCGTTCTGGCACCCGTGCCAGCTGTCTGGTGGATCTGTATTCGACGCCCTTGGACTAGTTTCCGGAGAACATGAACCTCTAGATTCTCACAGAACGAGGGATGGGGGGAGAGTTGGGGAGGGAGGCCTTTCGTTAATTGGAACTTGAAACATTCGACGCGGCGGCTCTTGGGTGCTGTTGCCACGCTTGTTTGTTGTCACACCGAGCTGATGGCGGCAAGGGGACGCTCAAGGTTGTTGGTCGGCCATTCAAAGGAGGGTGTTGTGCCTCGCCGTCACCTGCGTCATTCAAAGCATGAATATTTTTTTTCCCAGACACCTGCTTTCGAGAACTTTGTCCGTGCCCCTTCATTGCGTAACAGTTAAACAATAAAACAGAGTATATATGACCTTTTCGCAGACAGATGCAACACATATGGAAACAGTAAAACATATGGTGCACAAACAATTTATTGGAGTATGTTCCAGAATTAGAAGCAAATTAAGTATAAGAAACTTTGTACTCTGCAGCTTCCACGATCCCCGCAGAGGCTGGTCTTCTGAAACAACCCATCTCCACCAATCGCATCACAACAGACACCACAATCACATTCGTGGACCAATAAGGACAGGCAACGATAACTCTGTGCGACATTTCGGTCCCAGTTGGGCCAAGAATCAGCCCAGAAAAGTGCGAATCACCGACCGAGTCGTCCTTCATGTTTGGAGGGAAAGCGCGGAGCGCAGCGTACAGCCAATGTGACAGGGACCCGAAGCGCGCATTGAGAATGTCATGCCTGTGGCTGTTTGATTTCGTGAAATGGGGGCGGACGCGGTAGTTTGGAGGTGTATGCTGATTTGCATCACTTGCACTGCGGAACACGCAACATAACGACAGCGCAAGGGATGCTTCCATAGGCCTCCCCCCGAGCATCTTATTATTCGCACATCGCGCCGCGCCGCAACCTACACCACAGTCGCCTCAACAACAGGCCGTCTGTCACCTTCAAGTGAACGCTCTTACCTTTCTCACGAGGACACACTCACTACAAAGCCGTGGCTTTTCGAAGTTCTGTATAGATCTCCGAGTATATCCCTCCCCTGCTTAGTAAGCACGATATATGCCAAAGTATAGCAGCCTTACACTCGTGTTGCACCAATCGAGCTTTTGTAGCATAAAGTGTACGCGACGGACCCAACTCCCTTCATCAAAATCTCTTTCACAAAATCACCAGATTTTTACCTCCCATATCGTTTCGAACGAGTGGTCTCTGACTGTTAGTACAATCTCTCTTGTCCAACGTCCCCGCGGCAGATTCCCGCCTTTTGAGCGGAGTCCGCTCATTCCGCTCATCCGTCCCATGCACCTCCGCCTTCCTCTCGCGGCCTCCGCCAGTCGTCCTCCAGTTCATATCGCCCGCAAACAATCATCCCGTGCCGCCGTCGGAATAACTACGAGTAGCGGCCAATACAGAGGGTTCGATCCGCGACCGAATTCCCACGTCATCTCCGCCGCAACGCGGTCAGCTTCCGTTCGCGTTCCCATCCACGTATCCACCCCTTGCCGCGCCTCACATCTCAACCTCTCGCCGCATTCGTCGCCGCAAATCACGCTCCGATCCGTCACCGCAACCACCAGTATGTCTCAGTGGTCCCAAGAGGCGGTCCGCGCACCCGTCGGCGGTGCGATCAGCTCCCGACCACGAGGTAACGCGCCGTCACAGAAGAATACAGTGGTGGCTACTAATAGTAGCACTACTACCACTACGACTACTCCTTGTAGTACCAGAGCGTCAGGCGTTGCGAGACGGAATAGATTCGCGGCTTCTGTCGCCGCGATTGGCGGATGGCGAGTGGGTGGGAAGGCCCCGACGATCGCGCTTCCCGTTCCGCGATACTACCATCAATCCCGCGCCTTGGAGTCGCGCCACGATGTCAGCTGGTCCTCCGCGTTCGGCGGAATCTCGGCGATCAGAACTTTCCCGACACGACAAGATCCTAAGATTAACCACCAGCAGCCGCAGCAGGAGTCACGAGTGTACCGTCTATATCGCAGAACCGCGTGTTGCGCAACTGACGGAAGTGGCGGCGAGCCCGGAATCGGCGGAGCCTCCGGTGGCCGCCGCAGCAACAGCTTCAGGCGCAGCAGCAGCTCCGCCAGGGATAGCAGCGGCGGCGGCCGCCGGAGTCTGGACGGCGCCGCCACGGCGCCACCGGCTCCCTGGGCGGCAAACTCGCTGTTCCTTCAAGGCGGAATCATGCAGAACAAGTGCCATCACCACCTCGTGCCGGCGCTCGCGCCGTCCAACGGATTCAGCCGCGGGCGGAAGCGGTCGCGGCGCTGGCTAGTCCGCGCCGCCGCCGGCCTGCGCTCGTCCAGTAACGTCACGCTCGCCGTCGCGCTCACGCGGTTTGTTTCAAGCATGGACTTGGAGCGCGGATGCGCCGCCGCCAGCAACTCGGTCTGCGGCGGAGGCGGCGGCGGCAGCGGAGGCGGACCCGAGGACGGATCCAAGCCCTGCTGGGACGGCGCTGGTGAAGCTGGCGCGGGGGAGGATTGGCGGGAGGGGCGCGGAAGCGCAGGTGCAGGGGGCGCCGTGAGCAGCGGGGCCGGCGGGAGGAAGAGCAGGCGGAGGAAGAGCGGCGCGTTTAGCCGAGGCCGGCGCGGCGTGGTTGCTTCCGCCTCTGCCCGACGAGGCGCGTTTGTTCTCGACTCGGAACAGCCGCAATTGGAGGCATGGAAGAAGAAGGAGAAAGAGAAACGGAAAGGTCGTGATGAAGAAAAGGAGAAAGATAAGGAGACAGAGAAGAACGGTAGTATGGCGAAGGAGACGAAAGCAAAGAAGGGTGGATCGGGCAGCGAGGAGAATTCTTCGCTAGAGAAGCGCTTCGGGGACTTGCTGTTCTGGAGAAGCGCGCCGAGCGCGCAACGAGGGGGCACGGATCGTGTCCCTTCCGGGAAGCGCGCGTCGAGCAGAGTCATCTGGACCGTACACGCTCCTCCACCCGCCAACGCATCGCCGTCCGCATTTTCGCCCTCCTACTCCTCCTCGTCTTCCCGCTCGCATGCGGGAACGTCACAGCAAGGCAGCAGGGGGAGCAGGGAGACCAAGGGGAACGTCGAGAGCAGCGGGGGAAGCGCGCTCTTCAGCGAGTGGAAGGCGCGCTTTGAGGCGCTGCACCGGAGCATCCGCGCGGAGGTCGGCGCGGAGCGCTTCCCGGAGCTCCCCGCGCAGTTCCCCCTGGACATGTCCGCGCTGCTGCTGCGCGCTCGGCCTGCCCACCGTTCAGCAGAAGCTGCACGGGGGTTAGGGCCGGGCTTGAAGGAAATTCAGCGGACGCACGAGGCGCTGGTGGACGGGAAGAGCAGCAGTGTCAGCAGTGACAGCACCCGGGGAGCAGTCTCGGTTGAATCTGCAGATGTGTTGGCCCCTGGAGCAGCAGCAGGAGCAGGAGCAGCAGGAGGAAGAGGAGCGGCGGTGATGGGAGGGGTGGTGTTACTGAACGTGCTGGCAGCGCTGTATGGGACGTGCAGTGTGGCGTCTAAGATGGCGGACAGCCAGGCGCAGGACATGCCCGCCTCTCTCACTGCTGCCGTGCGCTTCATTGCTGCTGGTGAGACGCGTGAGGGCAGCTTGTGATTTTTTTTCCGGGTTTTTTCTCTCTCTCTCTATCTCTCCCTCTTGTACTTCTTTCGGTTGTTTACTTCTTTTGTTTCTTTCCCCTTAGGCTCGTCCTCCTCCTGCTGCTGCTTCGTTGCTTACCTCTCTCTAACCCTCCCTCGTCCTCGTCTCCTCTCCTCCCTCTCCTCTCTTCTTGCTGCAGCGGTGGCGTTTGCTCCTGTCCTTGCCTCCACTCAACTGGGGAACAAAGAAGCGGCGCGGAAGGAGAGCCAGGCGGGAGAGGGCGAGGGAAAGGGAGAAGGCAACGCAGGCGACGAGGCATGGTGGAAAGACGGGTTGATCTGGGGAGGGGCGGAGCTGGCCGGGTGGAGTTTCCTGAGCTCTGTGCTGCTGGCACATGCGAGTTCGGACAGCAGCAGTGCCAGTGCTGTCATGCTGTACAGCTTCTCGGTAAGTACGACTTTCCAGACGTCTTAAAGCTCTGCCTCCTAGCTGTTTTGACACGTCCGTCCCAAAGCGCCTCCCTGTACTATTCCTTGCCACTCCTTCACCATTCAACTGCGACTCAGCTCAGCTTATTGACTTATTGAGTCGACTCAAAAGTTCAACTGCGGCTCACCTCAGCTTCTTCCGATCCTTGTGAAGATCTTTTCCGCGTCATTCTGTCCCTTTCCCCCTGTCCTGCGCACCCACCCATCCCCCTCGTGCCACGCAGATCCTCTTCCTGCCGCTCATGCATCTCTGCACCGGTCACTCCCTCCCGCGCTCCGCGCTCCTCGCCGTGCTCGCTGCTCTCGTAGCCATGGGGGTTCTCAACGAGCAGACCCTCGCATCCGCCGCCTCTCCCCTCCCCGCCCTCCACGGCCTCTCCGCCCCCTCCTCCTCCCTCTCTTCCGTCTCCTCGACAGTCGCCGGCGGGCTTATCCCCTTCCCATCCCTCCCCTCGCTCCCGGCGCTCCCTTCGCTCCCCTCCATTGACCTGGCAACCATGGCGAGTTCGCTCATAGCAGGGCTGCAGATATTCCGCTCTGAAGCCTTGACTGCTCGCTTTGACCCGCTGCGCCTCTCGGCAGTTCAAGCAGGGTCGCTGGCGCTGCTGGGAGTGGCTTGGGAGGCGGTGCACGTGGCTTCAGGAGGAGGAGGAGGAGGAGGAGGTTTGCACGGCCATGCTCTCGCTTCCGCTGATTCTGCTTCTGCCGTTGCTGCTGCTGCCGCTGCTGCTGCTGCTGGAGGGTTCAGCACGGCAGCAGCAGCAGAGGGAGTGGCAGAGCTTTTGGAGCAGCTGCAGCGGCTGCCATGGCTTCCACTGATATACGGTGGTGCTGTGGGTTCTGGCCTCTGTGCGTGGCTGGAGCTATGTGGTTTGCGCAAGGTGCCTGCTTCTGTCGCAATGTTGGTTTACACGACGATTCCGCTCTGGGGAGCGCTTTTTTCTTTCGCTGCCCGCGGCGAGGTGCCCGGGTTTTCGACTGTCCTGGGAGGAGGCATGATTGTGCTAGTGAGTCTGGTGGCTCGCGTTATGCTGGTGGAAGGGGAGAGAAGTGGGGGAGAGAGTGAGGGGAGGGGTGAGGAGAGGAGAGAGGGATTGGGAGCCGGTGGTGTGGTGGAAGGAGCAGGGGAGGAGGGAACGCGGAAGTCGGAAGAGGGGGAGGGAGAGAAAGGAGAGGGGGGAGAGAAGGAGGTTGGCGGGAAGGCAGCTGGATTGAAATGGAAGAAGGCATGGGATTCGATCCTGTCCCGGAATAGCAGTGCCTCTGAGGCGGCTATAGAGCTGGTGAAAGAAAAGGAGACTCGAGAGAATGAGGGCAGAGAGGAGGAGAAGGAGAAGGCCGAAGAGTGGGAGGACGCTGGGGAGGAGGAAGAGGAGGAGGAGGAGGAGGAAGAGGAGGAGGAGGAGGAGGAGGAGGAGGAGGGGAGAGTTGAAGAGGAGGGTGGGGAGGAGGAGGGAGAGAAAGGAGCGGAGAAGAGTGAGCAGCTGTCGGCGGCACTGCTGACATCGCAGCTCAAGTTCCCGTTCTACGCAGCCCAAGCGAAACACGTGCTGCTGAAGCTCAAGGCCAAGCTTGGAGCCACCAAGACTCTCGCTCTCGCACTCCCCTCGCTTCCCACCCTCCCGTCCTTCCCCTCTCTCCCTTCCTTTTCCCACTTCTTCTCCTCCTCTGCCTCCTCCGCCCCTCCTGCCTCTTCGGCCTTTTCTGCTGCTGCCTCCTTCCCTTCACTTGCAACGTTGCCGTCCCCAGGTGCCGCTACAGCTGCTACGTCTGCTGCTGGTGGTGCCGGCTGGAAGGGGATAGCTGCAAAAGGCCCTCCTCCTCCTGCCCTCTCTACTGCACCCACTTCCTTCTCCTTCTCCCCCTCCTCCTCCGCTTCCTCCGCCTCGTCTTCCTTGAATGCCCTGACTTCTGGTCCACACACAGCTGCTGCTGCATCACCTGTTACCGCTCATACTCCCGTCCCGACCAGCGTTGCTTCTTCTGTTTCTAGTGCTGCTGCCAAGCATGCTGACGCCACCGCTTCGATTGCAACTACTGCTACCACTGCTACCACTAGCTCCGGTGCCACTGCTGCTACAAAAGCCGCTGCTGGTGTTTCATCCTCCGCTCCCCCTCACCCGTCGGGAGGAGTCGAAGCCCTGCACGCTGTCACGCCTGCTGGTGCAAGCGCTCCTAGTGCCGCCACTGCTGGTGCAACGGCTGGTGTTGCCAGTGCCGCTGGTGCTGGTGCTGCTGGCACTGGTGCTACTGGTTCTGTTGCTGCTTCTGGTGGCGCTGCTGTTCCTGCTGGTGCTGGTGCTGCTGGTGCGGGTGCTGTTATTACCGCCGACGGTGCAGGAGCAGGAGGAGGAGGAGGAGGCATGTGTGCTGTCTCTGGTTTCGCCTCCTCTTCATCCTCCCTCTCCTCCTCCTCCACCTCCTCCGCCTCCACCTCGCTCCAGCCCATGACGACACCAGAGATGCACGTCACCGTAGCCACTTCGGCTCCTCCCCCTGCCACCACCACCATCACCACTGCCACCGCCTCTCCTGTCCCAGATGCCACTGTATCTACCAGTTTCATTGCTCCTCCCACTCCTCCTGCTGCTCCTACTCCTCCTGTTGCTGCTGTTGCCCCTGCTGTCTCCACGGGTTCTCCTTCCTCTCCCCCCGCGCCACTGGGTGCTCCGTCGTCGGCAACGATCGCTGCAGCGGACGGACTTACTCCCACCATTCCCACCACTCCTGCCGCTCCTGCTGCTCCTGCTGCTCCTGTCACTCCGGTCACTACTCCCACCACTCCCCCTGCTCTCACCACTCCCCCGGTGCTCGTACCTGGGTCGATGCAAGCAGGAGAAGGGGCGGGGCCGAGTGCAGGGATGCAGAGCGGTGTGACAGCAGCAGCAGCGGCAGCAGCAGCATCACCAACCACCACTACCAGCTCTACGTCCGCTACTACCACCACCACCGCCGCTGCTGCCGCCACCAGCACCCCTGCTGCCGCTGCCACTGCTACCCCTGCTGCTACCTCTGCACCGGCTGATACCACAGCGCATTCCCTGCTCTCCTCCCCCGTGGACCCACTCTCTCACACAGCCAGTTCTGTATCCAAGCTTGTTGCTCATGCTCCCCTTGTCCCTCCCCATTCGGTGAGTGCTGATGCTCTCACAGTGAAACTCCATGCCTCCTCTGCCCTAGTGTCTGCCGCCTCTGCTGCTGCTTCCTCTGCTGCATCCCCTGCTGCATCAACTTCTGCAGCTGCTGCCTCTGCCGCGTCTGCTGCTTCTGCTGCTGCGTCGGTGGCAGCAGCAGGAGCAGGAGCAGGAGGCGGAGTGGGAGGAGGAGCAGGGGGAATAGGGGATATTGTCTCTGTTGCGGCTGTTGCAGCAGCAGGTGTTATACATGCAGTGGAAGGAGCGGCATCAGCAGCAACAACGGCAACGGCTGTGGTTGGAGACGCAGTGGCGTCGTCGGCTGCTGCTGCTGTCGGCTCTGCGGCCGACACTGCTGCTGACGCTGCAACCAGGATTGCTCACGTGCCAGATGCGGCAGCAGGGGCTTTGGAGGGTGTGGCAGCTGCAGTTGCTGCAGTGGGAGTGGGTGTGGTGGGGATGGCTGAAGCAGCTGGAGCAGCTGGAGCGGCAGCAGCAGCAGTGGCTACGGCTGGAGCCTCAGCAGTGGCAGCAGTGGTGGGAGCGGCAACAGATGTTGCTGCTTCTGCGTCTGCTGCTGCTGCTTCGTCTCCTGCGGTTGGTGGTGTGTTGGAGGCTGTTGCATCGTCACCGAGTGTATCCCCTGCTGCTGCTGCGGAGAGTGTGATTGCTCCTTTATTGAGTGCTCCATTAGAGCTGCTCGGTACAGTTGACGTGGGAGAGATAACTCGTGTTCTTATGGAGCACGCTATTATGCAGTGATTCGGTACGGTAGCTCCAAGTAGGGCTTCAACAGCCTGTAGCCAGGTTCTTTCATGTACCGTAGTTACTTTGCGGTTATTGTTTGTACTGTGATTGCAGATATTGCATGGCTATCACCTATTGCTAAACCTGCAATATGTAGTCCAGTAACTTCTACTGTACATGAATGCGCATAGACCATGCAAGACCCAGTAGTTCTGTCATACTTGGTTGTTGATCAGTGCTTGCTTGTTGATCCTTGCTTGCTCGTTGATCCATGCTTCTTGCTCCAAAGCCCGCGCATTTGTCGTGGTAATCATCGACATTGTAACTTCTGTAAGTACCTATTGTGTTCCAATAGCAACTCACCTGACCTGATGCAAAATATACTTCCATTGTCAACAAAAGAAGGAATGACTACCCTAGAATGAGAGCATGCAGTTGTGATATGTACTAAACCTGTACAATCTACAGAGTAACCCAACCAGGCCCCCAGATTCGTTTTTGGCCTGTCTGATTCGTCAGACTAGTACACAGATTTAGTCTGAAACTCTCAGAGTTGGTATTAAAATAAGGCTGAAATTTCAGAGTGTCTAAAAAAAAAAGTCTGAACATTCGAAATCAATGTATTCAATGTTCATCAGAAATGTATTCATTGTTCATTCACCTGTTACCGAAACCAGACTAGGGGGATTTCGGCGAATCTGCAATGTCAGACGCGAATCTTGTGTCGGGGAGGGAAAATCTTGTGGTGATTGGGTGAATCTTGTGGTAGTTGGGCGAATCTTTTGCTGAGCGAATCTAGTGGTGTGACAAGGCGAATCCGCACTGTCAGACGCGAACTTTGGTGATTGGGCGAAATTGTTGCGCTATGACGACGCAAATCTGTGGTGTCCGGGCGACTTTGCTATGATTGGGCGACATTTTTGTGCTGTAAGGCGCGGATTTGCTGTGTCAAGGCGATTTTGCGTTGACAGTGCGAATCTGCTGTGACCCGTGAAGTCCGAATCACCAGTCAAGAACTCTTTTGTACACTGAATTCATCAGAGTACACTCCCGAAAAACTCTGAAACGTCAGAGTCAGCCTATAAAAAAATCTGATTTTCACAGAGTTGAGGCAATAAAAAGTCTGAATTTTACAGAGTACACCCTTAAAAAATCTGAAATCTCAGACTAAAACAAGCAAATCAGACAAAAAACTCTGACTTCTGGGGGCCTGAACCCAACCCAACCTAGCCTATAATGTACACACCACATGCAAGAACGTATCTGTAAAATTAACTCCATTTCCAAACCCAAATTTGTCCAGCTGGCACGTGCATGCATATGGAAGGGGCCACTAGTCAATGTCTCTAGACACGGAGGCACCAGGCCAAATATTGAAATGCACAACCAACAAGGTTTCATGGCGAACGTTGCCACGTCAATTGAAGGTTAGTTCACAAAATCATCAGTGTATGTGGGTCATGTAAGTGGAAGCAGTGAAGTGCTCAAACAAATGGCACCCGTGTATGCATGCGTGTTTGTGCGTGCACGCGCACGTGCATGCGAGAGTGGGCGTGTGAGGGGGAACATGTGAGGAGTCATGCGTCAGAGCCAAATGCTTCCTCAAAGCGCTTCATCGCTCTCTTTTCGAGTCGACTAAAAAACGGAGTCATGAGTCAGAGTCAAATGCTTCCTGACTTTTGAGTCGACTCAAATGTCAGCGTGGAGTCATGAGTCAGAGTCAAAGGCTTCCTCAAAGCGCCTCATTGTTCGCTCCATTGAACTGAATTCCTGCATGCACCACCGCGCAGGGAGGGATGGGATGGGAATGGGAGGGAGGGCATGGGAATGGCAGGGAGTGCAATGGGGTTGCGCAACTTGGCGGGAAACAAACAACATGGAACCACGAGTCGAGCTGAGACAGGCAGACGAGAAGCGGGACAGGATGATTACAGGAGGAGGAAGGAGGAGTGGCAGAAGACGTGAAAGAAGGAGTGACTTAAGGAGTGACAGAATGAAAGACTAAGGGCGTATTCCTACGGCCTCCTATCAAGAAACCTCCTATCAAGATTGTACCTTTTGCCTGGTAAAAGTAGCGAGAGATTTTGGGTTTAGGGAATTTTCCAGTGAGAGCTTAATAGGAGGTTTTCTTGATAGGAGGATAGGAATACGCCCTAAGGGCGAGACCCTGTAAGGGTGTGAGTAAGAGCAGAGAGCAGCACATACAAGCCACTTGCGCAAATGAAGAAAGCTCGCACTCCCTCCCTGCCCACTGCTTCCCCTCATCCCTCCTCCTCCTCCTCTTCCTCCTCCTCCCCCTCCCCCTCCCCCTCCTCCCCCACATCCCTCCTGTGCCTGCAAGGACTGTAGAAAACTTGTTGATCCCCATTCCCCTTCCCCTCCATTCCTTTCTTGATGCTGCTGGTGCTGCTGTCGCAGTGCTGTCAAGTGAGAAAGGCTTTCGGGCAGCTTCACATCATCGCCCTCGGGCAGCTTCAAAAGCACGAGATTGGTCAAGGCGCTGAAGGACATTGGCAGCCCCCGCAAGTTCGGGCAGTCTGAAATAACAAGCTTGCACAGCGAGCGCAGATTCCCAATATTTTGGGGCAGGGAGAGGAGTGAAGGGCACTTGGAGGCTATGAGAATGGCAAGATTAGGTAGCAATCCAAATGACTGCCCGAAAGACTTCAAGTGCGGGCACTCCTGAAAACTCAGCAGCTCAAGGTGTTTCAGCTGCCCGAAGTCCGCGGGCAGTACGACAATGTCGCAAAACTCGAACGTCAAAACTTTGAGCGACGCCAGCTGGCTGAATCCGGGCGGCAAGTGCGAAATCTTGGTCACGTCGCTCAAATGTAGCGCTCGGAGGCCAGTAAGAGCACATAAGTTTTCGGGCAGCCCTTGAAAATGTGCAAGATCAAGCACAGAGAGATGGCAGAAGATATTTCTATCGTGGAGGTTTGAGTGTTTGAAGGGACGGAGGCGGAGTCTTGAAAGAAAAGGCAGGCTCATTATTGACTGGAGAAGGCCAGGTAAGGACGGGCAGAATTCAAGGCTCAAAAAGCGCAGCTGCGGGCAGTGGTCGAAAGTTTCGGCTTTGATGTTGAGTGCATCGCATTGGTAGATGATTAGGGTTCGTAGCATGGGCAGGGAGAAAAATCCCTTAGGCAGCCGCTGCAATCGCCAGCAGTCAGAAATGAAGAGGGTTTTGAGTTTCTCCAGCTGCCCGAGGTGTGCGGGCAGCTCAAGCAAGTCCCTGCATTTGGAAAGGGCCAGTGTTTTCAGTTTTGTTAGTTTCTGCCCAAAATTTGTAGGCAGCCGGGAGCAGCCCGAGGAGAGGAGGAAAAAGTGGCGTAACTCGGTCAGCGATCCAAGGGAATCGGGCAGGGTCAAAACATTTGGACATCCCAGAGCCAGCCACTTGAGCCGTTCCAGGCTGCCCAAGTTGCTGGGTAGATATGAAATTCCTGTGCAGTTGAGAAGTTCCAAACGCTCCAGTTGGGACAACTGGTGCATGGTGGCGGGCAGGTGAAAAATGTTTTGGCAGTTAACCAAGTGGAGGGATTTGATGGACGGGCAGCTGAGAGCAATTTCATCAGGAAGAGAAATCAGGCTTGGTGTGTCGAGGTAGAGAATAGAAAGGCATGGGAATGTGGGCAGTCTGGGATTGCATGGGGGTTGATTTACTGCTTCCCTGGCTCCTGCTGCTCCTGTTCCTGCCGCCGCCGCCGCTGCTGCTGCTGCTGCTGTTGCGGCTCTCGGTGAAGGTGGAGGTGACGGGTCAGGTGTGAGAAAACGGGCTGAGGAAAGCATGGGGGAGGAGATGGAGAGGCAGCGCAGCGACGCAAGGCGTTGAAAGGAGTCAGGAAGGCACTCAAGAGAATCACTGCCTACAGACAACTCCTCTAATCCTGTCAGCTTGCCCAGCGCTTCAGGCAGGAATACAAGATGAGAATCGCTGTCACCACTGCTGCTGCTGCTACTGCTGTCACTGCCACTGCCGCTGCCGCTGCCGCTGCCCCTGCTGCTGTTCTGCGGATGGTGTGACAGGAGGGCCGCTGGGGCCACCAGGTCAAAAGCCGTTGCTGCACTGCTGCTGAAAGGGACGCCGCCGGAGATTTCTTCCGCTGCTGCCCGTGCGAGCTGCCCGAGACGGAGAACGCGCAGGGAGGAGAGGTTTGAGATGGAATCGGGCAGTGTGAGGGAAGTGGGAGGGAGGGAGAGGAGGGAGAGGTGGGAGAGGAGAGGCAGGGAGGAAATGCGGGTGAAAAACAGGTCTAGGCTGTCTCGGGGCGTATGGTGGTGGTGCTTGTGATGCTGCTTGTGATGGTGGTTTGTGCTGTGGCTGCAGATTTGATTCCGAGTCTGATGATCCGTCAGGTGCGTATGCAGGGGGGAGGCAGCAGAGCAGGATGCGATAGGACCAGGAGGAGGGAAGAAGGAGGAGGGAGGTGAGGAAGGGGAGAACGGAGGAGAAGGGGGGCTAAGGGGAGAAGGGGAAGGGAGAGAAGGGGAAAAAGGAGGGGAAGGAGGGGAAGGGGAAGAAGGGAAGGGGTGGCTACATGGGCTACCATGAGTGTATGGGTAGGGAGTTGCTCCAGGAGGGGGGGAAAAGGGGAACAAAAGGCGTGAGCTGGAGGAGGCGGAAGAGGAAAGCGAGAGGGGAGCAACTGAGCTGGGGTTCGGCTTAGGGTCAGGGTAAGAAATAGGGTTAGGGTTAGGGTTAGGGTTAAGGTTAGGGTTAGGCGGGAAAGAACACCATGGGCCTCTGTGTGCCGTCTGGGGTAAATTCTGGTGAGGGGAAGAGATGCGAGGGGTAAGGTTGGCGTTACCCAACCACTCCCCGCTCTCTTCCCCATGTCCCCCAGGCCCCCCATGGGCCCCATGCCCATGCTCCCCCCACGCCTGCTCGCCTCCCCATCGCACCCCGTCGTTTCCACTCGTATTTCCCCCAAACTCTCCCCCGATACGCCAATGCCCCCCTTCTCTTCCGCCTGTTCCGCTTCCTGCTTCTCTACCCGCAACTGCCGCGACTGCCTTGTCTGCCCCTCCTGCTGCTGGTGCTTCAGTATAGAACACTTCCCCTGCTCCTACAAGCGCAACTGCGTCGGAATCGACTTCCCCTGCTTCACCTACCCTGCGCCACTCTGATTTCCGCTCCGCCCAGCCTCCTCCCCTTTCCCCTCTGCCTTCTCCCGCCCCTCGTCCTTTTCCCCTGTTCACTCCCCCTGCCCCTGACGCTGCCCCGTCCTTACACCGCTTTCCCCCCTTCCGCCGCCATACAACGCTCCCCGGGGGGATTGTTAAGCTGCGGAGTTCCGCGCATTGGCGGAGCAGGCGGAGCACCGCGCGCAGGGGGAGCCCCGCGCCGGCGGGAAGGCAGGTGGAAACGAGAGATTGGCAGGCAAGCGGGAGCCAAGCGCGACAGACGAGCGCGTGCGCGAGGGAAGGGGGAGGGGGAAGAGGGCAGGGGAGGAAGGCGCAACAGCAGCAGCATGGGGCGGAGTGAGAGGGAAGCTGGGAGCGAGAGAAGAATTGGGAGTAAAAATGAGTGTGGGAGTGAGAGTGGGAGTGGGAGTGGGAGTGAGAGGGCGAGTGGTAGTTCGAGCGAGGGCAGAGCATGGAGTGGAAGGGAGGATGCACGGAGTTATGCCGCTGAACCAGGAAGAAGATGTAATGCAGCACGTCATCCGGCAATCTCGAGATGGGACACGTGGCATCGTCTGATTCATCCACACCCGCTACATCCGTACGAGCCTGACACGCGTTGGAGGTAAAATCACCCCGAAACACCGTTAAGATATTATTAGCTGCCTCGGGCTGGGTACCAAGACTATCGGAGAAACTTCCATTGACGACAGAGCGAATTATATTACATTCGCCATCTCTGGAGTGTGTCCGAAGCTCCGCGTTTCCCGCCGTCACTTCAGGCCCCGCGCACAGCGGCGGTGCCGGGTCAGAGGGCGTGGAGGTGGCCGGGATGCTGCCGATGATGCTGCTGCTGCTACTGCTGTTGCTGGTGCCGCTGCTGTTGGTGCTGGTGGTATTGGTGGCGACGCTGGTGGGATTGGTGGAGGTGATATCTGGTGGCGGCCACGACTGGCCCTCACACTTACCCCTAGCGGACGGCGTCATGTGTTGCAGTGGCAACCCGCCCCCTTAAAACCCAAACGAAGGGCTGACCCGAGACTCGCGGCGGCTGAGTCGCAACGCCCTACGCAAGGTTCCGCAGACGTAACGTAAGAGGCTGCGATACTGGAACGAGAGCGGAGAGGTGATGCGGGATGTGCGGAGCTTCACGACGTTGATTTAGCGCGGGAGACGGCTTGAGGCTTTTGCGGGCCTGGTGCAGGGGACAGGAGGGCAAGGGAACACGGGGTGATGAGAGGATGTGGGAGAAAGAGCGAGCCGGAAAACAAGAAAACAAGGAGAAATGTCAGAACGGCGGGATATGAAGGGTTGGGGAGCACGTGTTTGGCGTTGCATGTAATGGAGATTGGTCCGAGACCAATAAAATAAAAACAAATGCCGAGCACTCATGCTTGCTTCAATCATAAGCTTGCATCCTGCTCTTGGAACACCTTCTAACGAAAATAACGAGAGAACCATAAAATTTGATACTGCTGGACGCCGAAGCTTCTAATTCCCTGACCTTGCGGATACTGCTGGTCGCCATCGACGAGTTGACGTTGCCATCTGTCTCTTCTCACCGATGCGGATTTTTTCAGCACAAAGCGCAAATACTAGGCCGACCAAGCAGGAGTAAAAGGCTATAAATTGCGTGGTCAAAGCAGACGGTTGGAAAAGAAAACCTTGCAGAGAACTGCGATGCGATAATAAGTGTTATTCCAACATAGCTGGGTCAATTCTTGATGTGATGGCGGCGGCGATATTTCCGATGTGTGCTGTGGTGTGGTGTGGTAGTTGTGAAAGAGGGTTGGCTTGGCAGTAGGCCACGATGACGCAACGCAACTTCCCTTTTACCTGCGATGCGACGTGAAAAGCCAGCATTGCGACGTCGTACACGGATATCAAGGGGGCAAGAACCAATCGTAGCTCTCTGGAAGCACGTCATTACATGACCCGTTGTCGTCATCACATCGCAGGGCCGGGGTCCGGGGATCTTGACGATGTTGCTGCCAGCGTGTCATCGTACAGCACGGCAAAAAAATATGGGTGATAGGAAGGTCCTGATTGGCGGGTCAAGTGCGTGTGACCCCGTTGCCCCTGAATTTCTTGCCAGCGCTGTCTTGTCTGTGCTCTGATAAGCTAGATCACGCTGGCGCCAGATCAGCCTAGAACTCCTCACGAGGAAAACTCTTGGTGAAGAGCTTCTAGCATCAGCTCCTACACCACTAGCTTTGGTTCGTATTACATCTGTTACGAGTGCAATTGAGTGAACAAACGAGAATTGCACTATCGAAACAATAGTACAATGATCGAAGGTATGAGCGAAGAATGTATAGCGAAACTACAGTGGTAACGGTAATGGACTGTGGTTGTCGCGCGACGGGCCTGGGACTGAGGTTGGGAAAAGTGTCGAAGCGGAGGCCCGGAGCGCGGGTTACCCGCTGAGCCGTGAGGTCGGGGTGCGACGTGCGAAGGTGGCGGGCAGATTGTTGATGCGAGGATTGCGAGTGGTAACGGTGCTGACTGTGGCGCTACAGTGATGTACGCGTTGAGCAGGGACGCGAAGTAAGGAAAAAGAGGTTTTCCTTACAATACCCCCCCCCCCCCCCCCTCAAGGAGGTCCTCCTTAAGAAAGTGCGTGTACATCCCTGAAATTCCGGCTGCGCAGATATTCGGTGAGGACGGGGTGGTTTTCGATTCTGTCCAGGGGAACCCAATTGTCTTCGGTGGGTGTACGGTCCTTCCAGCGGAGTAAGAACTCGATCCTTCGGGCTCCTCGAGGGTCGCGAACTCTGTGACTCAGGATTTTCTCGGGGGTGATGATTGGTTCAGTCGGTGGTCTTGTCATGCTGGCTGGGCGATTGCGTGGCAGTTGGCTCGTGGACGGGACGTAAGGGCGAAGCAGACTGACGTGGAACGAGGGGCTGACGTATCAGTCAGCAGGGAGGAGGAGGTGGGCCGTGACAGGTGTAAGCATGTGGCTTATGCGAAATGGCCCGCAGTATTGGGGGCGGAGTTTCGGGGTGATGGGCAGTCGGAGATTTCGGGTGTCGAGCAAAACTAAGTCGTCGGGCTGGTAAGTGACAGGTCTGCGGTGGCGGTCGGCGTTGCGTTTAGCGATGATGTTAGCTTTTTTAATTGCGTCTGCTGCCCTGGTCCGTGCTGCTTGCAAAATTTCGGCGAACTGTTGCGCGCGTGGAACCGGGTTGTCGGGATTCGGGGTCATGGGTACTGTTGGGTCTTGTCCGTAATTCAGGTAAAACGGTGACTGTTGGGTCGTGGCGGATGGGGCGTTGTTGTATGCGAATTCGATGAGTGGCAGTTGCTGTTCCCACGTGTTTGGGTCGTCGCACATGGCCCGGATGAGCTGTTTCATGGTCTGATTTGTCCGTTCTGTCTGTTCGTCTGTTTCGGGGTGGTACGATGAAATAAACTGTAGTCGCGTGCCGAACTGCTGCCACTGGTTCCGCCAGAAGTTGCTGGTGGATTTCGTGTCTCTGTCGCTGATGATTGATGCTGCTATCCCGTGCGGTCGAACGACGGTAGAGATGAAGAGGCGGGCTGTTTCTTCGGATGTGATTGATTTTTTGCAGGCTGCAAAGTGTGCCATTTTCGTCAGTCGATCGACAACAACCAGGATCGCGTCATTTCCACTCGCCCCGGCCGGTGACCCTGTGACGAAGTCCATCGTCACCTGCTGCCAAGCACGCTCTGGAGGTGGGAGTGGCTGCAACTGTCCCGCCGACCGCTTCCGTGTTGACTTCATGATCTGGCAAGTGGGACACGATGCCACGTGTCGCTGCACGTCGGTCAAATAAGCGTGCGTCGATCTCAGGTAAGCAGCGACTAAGTGTCAGTTGTAATTTTCACGCAGTTGCGGTATTAACTAAACTGTGGCTTGCTCCTCCGTCAATACAAATCTTCACTGCTGCTCCCTGTATTTTCTCGTGGAGCAGTACTGGGCAATCCGTCGTTGTACCATCCTTATTCATCCGAGCCCGATCGATGGCGTGAATCGGTACTGTGACTCGGTGAGGGTCGGTGCGGTTGGGCGAGCAGGCAGTCTCGTCAGTAGTTGGCTCAACTTCTACTGACTGCTGGCGTTTCCCTGCCTCTGAGACTCCCTCCCCTACTCTGCTCCGCGGCGCCTTAGCTTCTCTGGGCATTCGCTCTTGCGATGGCCCGGACTGTTGCAAGCAAAGCATCGCCCCTTAAACGGTGCGGTAGCTGCATTCGTTGCAACAGTGTTTACAGTGGCGTGCTCGATCGGTCCCCGAAGACGATGTCCGTAGTAGGACCCCAGTCTCGGTCGGGGTAGAATGTCGATTTTCTCGGCGAGCGCGAGAATCTCGTTGAAGTTCGAGAGCCCGCGCAACATGATTTCATGCGAGATGTCCGGCTTCAGCCCTCCGACGTAACGGTCCACCCGCTCCGCTTCGTGCATGTAGTCGACCTGCTCGCAAAGTGCGAGAAAGCCGCTCGTGTAATCTTGAACCGACCCGAGCTGCCGCCAAGTGCACAATCTCTGACGCGCCGAAATAGAAGCCGCGATCGGCTCGAAGTGCGCCCGAAGCTCTGCGCACCACGCATCACACGTGCTGTATTGGGTGGTCTCGCAGAATGAACTCCAGGTGACAGCTGGACCCGTGGGCCCTTCCTCTTGCGACGGTGGCTCGTAGGCGCGTGGCGACGTCACGATGACTCGCCACCAGTCCATGGCGGGAACCCTTAACAGCGAAACGGCATACCGAATCTTGGCTGCGTCCAACTCGACGTAATTCGCGTCGAAGAAGACGTTCATCGTTAAAACCCACGATTGAACCGTCGGACCTCCACGCTGGCTCGGGTCGAAGCAGGGCGGGCGTTGCGGCTTGAGTGGCATTGGTGCCATGATGGCCTGTTTGCCACTTGTCGCCGCGAACTCCACGTGCCGACGGGCTTCGCGAGGCGCCCGCGGGCTTGGTGCGACGCTGTTTCCTCCCACGCCAGGCATCGGCTGGGCGGCGCCATCGCTGGCTGCGCCTGAGCGCTGTCCCACGCTGTTGTTTTGTGTTGGTGTGCCGGACGATATGACAATCGGCTCGTCTGATTGTGCAGATGCATTTGTCGGTGCGTGTGGTGGCGCTGGAGTGTTCGTCGTTGATTGCGGACGCGCGGAGTCATGTTCCGCCGTGAGCGTCGCTATTTCGAGCGCCGAATCTTCGAGTTGGCGCACCAGACGGTCGAGCTGCTCCTGCGTCAATGTGGCGAGCGTGAATTCGGCCATGGCGGGGGTGTCGGGCGAGCTCAGCGAGAGCCTCAGTCATGGCCGTGTGTGCTTACAAGAGAGCACTATGAGCGGCGGTGCTGTGTCGCTGAGAGACGTCTACACCCCCCAAAAATTGAGATAGTGGGGAAGCGAAGGTGTGGGTGCGGTCCGAGAAGAGATCGTAGGCTCCGAATTCCAAGTGTTACGAGTGCAATTGAGTGAACGAACGAGAATTGCACTATCGAAACAAGAGTACAATGAGCGAAGGTATGAGCGAAGAATATATAGCGAAACTACAGTGGTAACGGTAATGGACTGTGGTTGTCGCGCGACGGCCCGGAGCGCGGGTTACCCGCCGAGCTGTGAGGTCGGGGTGCTACGTGTGAAGGTGGCGGGCGGATTGTCGATGCGAGGATTGCGAGTGGTAACGGTGCTGACTTGAGAAGAAACGAGAATGAGACTATAATGAACAAGTTTAACTAGGGCCTAGGCTTAGAAGCCTAGGCCCAACTAGTATGTCGAGTGGGTTGTGCCAAGGGTGAGAGTCGAGGAAGTTGGGAAGTGGGGTTTCACTATAGGTTTCAAGGAACATATAGCATAGGAAACAAATAAGGTGCACCACCAAACTAGGTTTATAATAACTACACTAACTACAGTTACAGGCAGTTACAAATATAAGTTCTGACACTCCCCCATAACTGTCTGTAGCAGGAGTTTGTGCAGAATACAACCTGCGGGTGTACACATGCAAAATAATAAACAAGCAACAGCAGGAACTGCAGGCGGGCTGACACTAGCTGGTCACCCCCTCCATCTCTTCACCCTCCTCCTTCCCCTCCCCCACACTGCTGCAGGAGCAGCAGAGAAGGGGGGAAGAGAGGAGAGGTGGAGGGACGGCTGCTGGTTGCCTCACACCCGCCACCCCGGTGCCACTCCCCCTGCTCCCCCACACCCTCACACCCTCCCCCCCAGCGGCAGCTGCAGCAGTGGGAACGAAAGGAGGAGGAGGGGAAGGGAAGGAGACAACCCAGCACTCCAACACCCGCCACCCCCATACCCTCCTCCCCACGGCTGCAGGGAGACAAAGGAGGAGGGGGTGGGCGGGAAGAAAGCCGAAGAGCAGCTAAATTGTGTCGGCGCAGATAGGCCAGGGGCGGCTGCAGGGATAGCAGGTGCGGAGAGGCCCGTCGCGTGCCACGGGGCGCACGACGGGTAAGTTTAAGTTTTAGGGCACCGTCGTGTGCCTCGGGGCGCACGACGAGCAGGGCACCATCGCGTGCCACGGGGCGCACGACGGGCAGGTTTAGGGCACCGTCGCGTGCCACGGGGCGCGCGACGGGCATAGAAGGAGTCACTCGCCAACCGGGGGCGGGACAAGGGAAAATTGCCACGCGCCCTAGGCGCGCGACCGGAAAAAATAGCAGCGGAAGCATATTGGCGGGCCCACAGGCCAGGACGTAACACGCTCTGATAGCATGTGAATAAACGAGAATGAGATTATAATGAACAAGTTTAACTAGGGCATAGGCTTAGAAGCCTAGGCCCAACTAGTATGTCGAGTGGGTTGTGCCAAGGGTGAGAGTCGAGGAAGTTGGGAAGTGGGGTTTCACTATAGGTTTCAAGGAACATATAGCATAGGAAACAAAGAAGGTGCACCACCAAACTAGGTTTATAATAACTACACTAACTACAGTTACAGGCAGTTACAAATATAAGTTATGACATGACTGTGACGCTACAGTGATGTACGCGTCGAGCAGGGACGAGAAGTAAGGAAAAAGAGGTTTTCCTTACAGTATCTAGCAACAAACAAAATTCTGAACAATATTGTACTAATGTAGTCATACCAAGCCTGGTAACTCCAGTTAAAAACATTGAAAAATAATTTGCGGATTATTTCTCAGGAATTATCGTTTCTTTTTGCGTAGAAATATTTTTGGGCGACAACCGCCGGAGTGATGCATGA